ATAATCTTGCTAACCAACTTGTTCATAGTTACCAAATACTATTTTTTTTAATATTTATAACTAACAACTTTTACAATCCTGTCTACACTTTATTTATTAACTAATTTTCTATTGAGATTCCTATTCGATGCTCTATTCATACTATTTGTTAAGTTTATATTATAACATTTTAAACATCTCAACATTGTTTCCAACAATGGTTCACTATTGCTTTTAACATCAACTGGGAAGCCACTTAGCTTTACATTAATAACAATCAAAAGGTTTCTAACTTTGCTTATAGTTTCTATTCCTCTATTCTAAAAACCTTTTATATTAAAATTTTCTTGAATGAACTACTTGTTTCTTATACTCTTTACAAATATAATTTTTTTTATTCTCCTCTCTGTTACCAATATAATCAAATTAGCTCTTTATTACACTGAACTTTTTGTTCTTCTACTCAAACAATTGATCATTTAATCTCAAATTTTCTTAATTGCATCTTAAATACTACTGCTCTTGACATATCTATTAATCTTGTTTTAAATTTACATTAAGAAATTCTCACACTTAATAGCTTTAAATTGTATAACTCTTCACACATGTCATCTTTTATTTCTACCCTATCTGGTTTAGTTCCTATTGACTTTATTTCTACTATTTATAATATTTCTATTTCATACTATACAGTTATTTTTCTTTCTATTAAATTTCTTTTTCATTTAAACTAACAAATATACAAACAAATATAGATTCCATATTGTATTTTACATTTTGCACAGTCTCAAAACACACTTGTTACAAACTTAACTTATAGTTTTTCTTTTAGTTTATTCTCATCTTAGTACCTTAAATTATTACTAAAATTGATCTTTGGACTATCCAATAGATTAAATATCATACCTCTCTTTCTTATATTATTATTAACACCCAAATCTAGATGAGCCTTGCCACTCTTGTAGGTTTAGGTTGCAGATTATATGTCTGAGTCTTTATTTTTTATATGTAATTTAAAAGCAAGCTTTTCTTTGTAAAAACTTCAATTGAATTTCAATAAAGTTAAAGGCATAGCCTTATTATTAATATTTAAAAAAAAAATTTTAATTTTAAATTTAGATTAATTTTTTTTTAAATTTTTAAAAATTTTTGTTAAAATTTTTTTTTAATATTAAAAATTTTTTTTATTAATTTATTTGGTTTAATTTTAATAGAAACTGATATAATTTTTATTTTTATTTTATTTAAAATTGTATTGTTTAATTTATATATATATATTTGTATTAAGTTATATTTGCAAATTTGTATATAAGTGATTATTAAAAAAAGTAGAACTAAATTATAAATTATATATAATGTTTTACAATTATAAATTTAATTTTTAGTTTATATATAACTTAATTCTTTTTATAATATAAAAACTAATTTTATAAAAAAAGTAATTTTTTTTAAATTATTATTATATAAATTTTTGTTAAATATCTTAATATCTTAAAAAAAAATAAGAAAAATTTTATTTTGATTTGGATCAAATAATTTTCTCTAATATTTAATGTTTTTATAAACTAAAATTATGTTGATGTTGATACTTACCATTATATTATTACTAATTAAGGTTTGTTAATATAAATTTGACCAACATTAACGGCTTATGCTAACTTTAAATTTTAGATAAGGTCGTTTTGATCTAGGTCAAAATAAAATTTCAAAATTTTTTTTCAGTATCATTATTGGAAACTTTTAATTAATTTTATTGAAATTGGAATTTTCGAATAATTAGAAACAATTCTTTTAATTTTTATTTTTAATCATTTAAAATTGAGGTTTCAAAAGTTAACAAATAAGTGATGCATTTCGAAATTAAATGGGAGTTTGAAAAATTTTATTTGTAATTCAAAATTTTAAAATCAGAAAAATGAAATAGGAGATCCTATTTAACGACAAAAAATTATTATTCTGAATTTATCGGAGGATAAAATAAAGTTGATACATCGTTCATTTGAAAAGAAATACGTCATCTATTTCTGTCAAAATTAGATTTCCACACGTTAACTTTCAAACTCCCTAATAATTTATACTAAGTTAACACCCAATGCACCTTTAATACAGTAATAAACGGATTAGCGATTAGAAATCATTGGAATTGGAATTTATTTGAAGGTCAATGTTAATTAACAACATTGGTGTAATGAAATATTTCTTTTATTAAATTATCCAAATTTTGATTTATAATGAAATAATTTTTTTTGTAAATCAATAACAAGATTTAAACTAAGTTATAAACGAATAAATATTATGTACCAATTAAAAAATTGGCTCAAGAATAAATATTACGTACCAATTAAAAAATTGTCTCAAATAAAATTATTACGTATGCAACTTTATATGTAGTTACATCTGATTACAGCAACTCAAAAACAATAATGGATTTCTTATACCGGTACGTAATCCAGCTACGTACGTACGTACATATTGATATTATTAACAGTTAAGGTTTACGCAAAAATTTTTTTAAAACCTTTACTGTTCGAAAATAGTTTTGAATATAAAGAAATGTACGTACAAACATTAGCGGTTGTAACGTTTTACGACTTAGAACACAATTTCTGAAACAGAAGTCCTTTATTCATTACACAGAACTTTCGATCATATATACATATATGGTTTTGCTTATTGACAAACATTAGGACAGTCGATTATTTACGAAAAACGTGGATCTGTCTCGATAACCAAAAAAGAGACATATTTTTCTTGACATTTTACATACAGTAAATGTGTTCTGCATCTGTTTGATTAAAGATAGTTTATTATTAACATTAATCGATTAACTACGATTTGAATTAGCTATACCGATTATGCATCATTTTGTATGGCGAGTGCTTGCGTACATACGTATTTAAGCACATGGCTTTTTTTCTGACAATTACCCAATATACCTATCAAACTTAGGCGTATCCTAAATAAGTTGTTACACTACTTCAATCAATAACTACCAATCGGTACGTACCATTTCATTACAGCACTAGATGGATTTCTTGGATTTTTTTCATGAAATACCAAGATAGATTACTTGGTATTATACGTATTATGTAATTGGTATGTATCCTGGCGTAACTTTTGATTCCAAAAAGTTAAATTTGAATATTTCAACACAATATGAAATATGAATACGTACGATTTTTTTTATTTTTATTTTACCTCATTTGGCCCTCAAAGGAATTTTCTTTTTTCCAAACTTTAATATTGTTTAACAAAAATGTATCGATATTATCGCTATACGGCGATATTTGTTTTGTAACACATCCTCACATAATACGTGCATTTCGGCGCCCGAAGTGTTCATCAGCCGTTATTAAAGTTTGACGTTACACGAGGATCATGTCAGGGTACTATCCGAGCGAAATGATTAACGTATCAATCCGATATTATTAACGACAATCTTGGGACAATCAATCGCCGTAATGTGATGTGAATCCGATATTATTAACGACAATCTTGGGACAATCAATCGCCGCAATGTGATGTGTTAACAATATTTTATTTTTGAAAATTATAATCATAATAGCATATAGACATGTCTAATAATATGTATAATAGATATTATTTTTTAAATATATACATTTTAATTAAATTCTTGAACAATCAAATATGAATTTGTCATAGATTTTTCAATTTCTAGATTAAACTTGATACGTAGTCTTTTAATGCTCCGAACAGGTCGACCCAATTAACCTATTATAGTATAGATACTTATGTAGTTAGGATCAACCTCATCTTGATCACTATTCTTAGTAAATGGTAAAAAAAAAACTTTTACTTGTATACTTGTACGTATACTTGTTATATACGTATATTCATTTGTGTAATTTATGTTATGTCTACGCAATGCATTTAACGATTTAAAGTTACTTTCTTTGTTATTACATATTGAAATGGCTAAAATCCAAAAGAAGAAAGTCCAAATTTTTTTCTCTCTTGTAATTTGCATATGTATTAAGAAACCACTGCTATTGAGTCCACATGGTCATTAAAGTTAATAAACTTTTTTATGGTTAAGACTAATCTTATCCGTACTACCTTTTTTCTCTTGAATATAAGCTCGATATTAATCTCGAAATTTATGCTATAACAAAAAAGTGAAATTTTAATATCACACAAATTATTTTGTTTCTGTGAAACAATGTCATAAAGACAAAAGCTCCTGCACATTTTTGTATGGGTGCAGTTATCTGTTTCAGCGTAAACACAGTGCATCATGTTAAAACCAAATACTAACTTATCTATTAATTGTGTAAAACGCTCTTGTTTCTACTTTTTGGCGGGAACTTTTAATGATTAAAGTAAAGAGTGTTCAAAGTAATATCCCGCTATTCTTGAACAATTCTCATATAAAATATAATGCTAGTACGTATCATCTTTAATTATTATGATCATTTCCCAATTACGGCCGTAGCGGTACATACATACATACGTACGTACGTACATAGCTGTCCATTTATGGAGTGTTTCAACTTTGCATATGTTTATCAATTTTTTCAAATTTTAAAACCTTCTGGTAAAACAAATTAACAAAATAAATAAATCATGGTACACAAATGAGTTTCGAAAGGCTAGATCATTTATTTGCTATTTATGATGATCATAATAATACATACGGACGTAAAAGCATAATGGCTCACATATGCGAAAGTATTCTTAAAAATGTTTCTGATTTGAAAGCGTATTTAACTGTAATAAGGAATATACATATACGAAACGAAACGATATTTTTATATATTTTTTTATATTCCTTTTTTAAATTAATTAATAGTTAACTATATAATAATTAATCGAGGATTATGTCTGAAATTCATTATAAATAGAAGTCCCAATTTCTTTTGAATCGACAAAAAAAAAAAAAATTTTTTTTAAAAATAACAAAATAAAAATTCCCATTCTCTAATAACTCTCAGGCATTCCCTCACAAATAGTCTGGTACTTAAAAAATCTTTCTTTCAAAAAACCATCTATATTTTAAAAAAATGGCACGATTACTTTTAGCTTTGTTATTAGTCTCTTTTTCTGCTCTTATCTCTGCTACTGTATACCCAATTATGGTCGGTCAGGGTGGAAATTTTTTTGTGCCAGCAAATGTTACTGGCTTAAAAGTGGGTGATATGGTAAGTATTTTATTAGTTTCTTCGTAAAACGAGCAACTGAGTGATGTTTAACATCTTCCCTTTTAACAAAACTATAGATTAATTTCACATGGGTCGCTGGTACGCACAGCGTTGTTCTATCGGATGCCCCTGCTGGAACCTGTGTCCAATCCCAATCTATACCAAATGCTCGTAATTATCTATCATTCTTATCCATTTCTGTCTTTATTTGTATAACCTTTATCCGTATAAATTTCTCACTCAACCTTTTTTTTTTAATAAACAGTATTCCAAACTCCAACTAATCAAACTGGTTTTAGTAAAATGTTCAACATCACTGAAACTACTCCACAAACCGTATGGTACTTCTGTAGTGTAGGTACTCACTGCCAGAACGGTATGTTCGGTACCTTAAAACTCGAAAGTGCTTCAAATTCAACTACTCCATCTCCTCCAAGTTCTTCAAGTTCTCCAAATTCTCCAAGTTCTCCAAAATCTCCAGCAAATCCTTCTCAACCAGCTGGTACAGAAACTGCTAAAGCTTCATCTGCTAATAAGGGTGAAATTAGTGGTGCTTTAATTATTGGTTCTGGACTTTTAATGTATTTTGCTGGACTATTTTTATAATGGGTTACCTGTAACAAAGAGTTATACATTTGTTTATTTTGTTATATAGATCTTTTTTTTTTTTTTTGAATTCGTCACTTTAATTAATAATCAGACAATGATTTGCATATCGATAATTATTTGATTTTTTTATAAAAAAAAAAAAATAATAATAAAATACATATACTGGTTATATTGTATGTAAATGCTATTCATAAAAAAATTTTTTCAAACTTTTGATTTATCCTTCATGTTATCCTATGTTATTGAGTTATATTAAAAATATATCTCATGAGAGATTAATCTAGCATATACCATATCTTATACGATTCAAAACTAAGTTTTACGTATTACGTAAAATTTAATAATTTGGGATAATCCCCCTGAAATGATAATCCCGAAATATAATTTCCGAAATCTTTGATAAATGATCTAACTCCTGAACTCTCCTCCGGACTGAAGGTCCGAAGACAGCGATGTAGTTTCCGGAGAGTTAGGTAATTTACCGAACGACCAAAAAGATTTCGGGTAAGGAGCAGGTGTTCCAGAAATTATGATAATAGCTGTAATTCTGGCTGATTTATCTTGAGTCGTCTCGTAATAAAGTTTTCGGAAAATGGTAAACAAATTTTCTTTAATGAAAAACATTATGATACGCTAGCGTAATTTGGTATGGTGAGTCGGTATTATTTCTTCCCGGGGAAATGTTAGTGATAAACATTATCGTAATTAGCATGAGTCGGTATTATTACCTTTCAGGAAATGATTTTTTCGGAAATTTTAAACTACCTATCGCTATAGTTTTTTAGTGATAAACATTATGATTACAATGTTATTTATTATTAGGTTTTCTTTTAACTAGTCTATTATCGTTAGTGTTGGTTAGTGCTGTTAAAAGTCCGATCCTATCCGTCCGGACTCCTCAAATAGGGACTTTAATCAGGACTCGATCCTTTGAGTAAGGTTGAATATGATCATACGTAGATAATACGTGATTTACTAATACGTATCATCATGTATCGGTATGGGTCAGCATAAATTAGCCAATCAAATGGCTAATTCCCTGGACAAAAGATATGTAGACCCCTACATTCGGACTTTATCTGAAGTCGACTCTGAGTCGGTCCTAAAAAGTCTCTGCCTAGTCGACTCAAGGACCCGGTCCAACAAGCTTTTTTACAGCCCTAGTGTTGGTTATATAAATAGTTTTTATAACCAACCTTCTGACCTTTATGTGGAAAAAGTGGGCTAGACGTTAATTATGTGTTCCGAAATAATAATTAAAATAAATAATTTCACTTTATAAGTATCTCCAAATTAGTACTCATTAATCGCGAATGTTGAAACAATCCTAGTCTTAACCAATCGGATGCATTAATTTCAGCATCATTCACGATAAATAATTATCTAACATAATCACATATATAGTCAGACCTTTTAAAATGAATTATGACGAGATTATATGTAAATATTTATTCAAACATGCATTTAAAGAGTGTTTGTATTTAAGGAGGTAAGAATCTATAAATGGGCTCAAGTGAGAACGTGCATTTAGGAGGGTTTGCATTTAGGGAGTTTACATTTAGGGGAGTCTGACTGTAGTAACTTATATTGCACTATTACTATTCTGTGTTCAATAATTATATGGGAGAAAATGTATCTCCGATACTATGTTGATCTTGTGAATAAAAATTGAATGAACTTTTTTTTTATTTTGTAAAACTTTTTAGTTCTACAAAATTAAAAAAAATTCATTCAAATTAGATAACGAAAAGATTGGCAAATTTAATTTTTGTTCACAAAATCAAAAATAGTTCCTATATGTTATTCGAATAAATTGTATTTTTTTTGATTATTTAACAACTATTCAAATAAATATATAGTATAATCATCCGAATAAGAAACTTTTTAAAATAAATATAAAAGTGATGTAATCAATTATCTTATATAACTGTAATACATAAATATTACTATCTAAATTTTATACAATCTTTTAAAAATTATAATATAGAAATAAAGAATTAATTAAAGAAACTTAAGAAACAGAAAAACAAAAAGAATACCTTTTTACAAATGGTTCTTTTTCTAAATTTTAAAAACAATTAAAGAAGTAAAAATAAAAGTAAATACATATTATAAAAAAATATTATACAATAATTTTTAGAAAAAAAAACTTTCTATTTGTATCCTATATATATTTTGTATATACAAGTATTTTTTTTTATTTTTTTTTAAATAAGAGGTCTATCCTCTATCTCTTTATTAATTAGTTAATTTATATATATAAGATACATGCTGAATAAACTAAGCTAAGAAAGATGAAGGTAAGAGCTAGTTTACTCTTGCCTATTCTTTGCTAAAATAGTCAGTAAACCTCTCTCTAGATTATGATAAAATAACTAAGAGAAGATTGTCTATAAGTGATATAATGACATATTTTTTTATTTAATAAAAAAATAAAAGTGGTTTAGTTTTAACTAGTATTAGAGGTTATAAAGGTAATAAAATTAAAAAGAATTATGTTAGATCACTCTAAAAAGAAGTCAAATTTTTTTATATATTGTAAAAATAATATTGTAATAAATGAGTAAAGCATGTTAAAGTGTTGTTAGTTATTAGATCTAATAGTATTTGTTTGTCAATATGATTCAAAATAAAAACTTAAGTAAAATTAATTATATCATAATAAGATATTTCTAAATTGTTTGAAGTTTTATACACAGTTTGTATTATTAAAATTGTAAAATATAAGTAATTTTGAAAACAAATTAAAAGATATATAATATTTTCAAAAATACTATAATATCTTAAACAGAGATAATTTGAATGTTTGTAACATTTCATTAATAAAGAAAAGAATATATAAATAGTTCTTTAAACAGTAATTTAATTTTAAAGTTATTTAATACAGAAAAGAATAGATCAGTTACTAAAGGCAAAGATTTTTCTTTATATGAAATATATTATAAAGATAATTACTAATTAACATTATTATTTTGTGAAATATACCAATAAGAGAAGCATTAATCTGTAAAAAAACAAAAGAAATAGTTAGCCAAACAGTTAAAGATCTGAGATATAAAAAGATAATGATAAGCCAAATAGCATACATAAACAACACAATAATAATTCCTAAGCTAGGATATCTCTTACAGCTAACAAAAATGCCAGAAAGAATGATTGACAAAATACATCAACTGCTAATATGCTTAGCTAAGCATAAGTGCAATATGATAAGAATATCGAACAATTGCACAATTGAATACAAAGACTTAGAAAATTGCAAAACACTAAGCCAAGAAATAACAACAAAGCAAATAAGCAGTCTTTTTTTAAGACTTAACAAACAAGATAGTATGGGTGAATTAACAAGACTTAGAATAGCTCAAAGATATTAGAAAGCAGACCTAACAGGTAACATTTAAGACAATAAAGAGAAAATAGAAATCAAGAAGTTTTGGAAAAACAACTTAGCCTGTTAAACAATAGCTAAAACAAAAGAAATAGAAATAAACATTAAATCAGAAAAACCCTTATAAAAAGTTTACAAACATAGTAAACAAATAAAAAACATATTAGAAACAAAAACATAAATAGTAAGCAGCAACACAATAAATAAATGAAGGTTAGTATATCTGAACCAACTTATAGATACAAAAGATAATAACCAGATCATATAAAAACAGCTCAAGAGTCTTCAAGATTTGTTATATAAAGAAAAGAAAGCTAAATAGTTTAGTGAAATAGAAAAAAAAATATTGAGAACACAAATGAGCAGAAAAATACAAGATCATTACAAAGTAAAAAGCTACAATACACAAGCATTAAAGATTAAGTAGAAAAGGATATCTAAAGACTGAAGGAAAAAAGAATAGATCATCCATAAATTAAAACACAACTAGCAATTAGACAAAATAATTAAAAAGAAAAAAAAAAAAGTCTAACAAAATATTGGTCAATGCATATAGAAAAAAGGAGAACAATAAGAGGTGTGGTGACCTAGTGAAGTGGTCAGGTTGTCAACCCTCCAAGTGGTAGGTTGGTGTTCAAATCCCAACGATAGCGAAAATTTGGATAATTATCTATGTAATATTTGTATTATGGCAACTGTTACTAATGATTGGGTTAGGATACCTGTAATGGTGGTTGCACCAGCATGACTGGCAGGTCAT